CGGGGCGGCGGAGGGCGCGGAGGACGCGGACGGGAGGGAGGGCGGCTCCTCCGCCAAGGCGCCGCGCGCGTCGAGCGCCCTCCCTCCGGCCGCCGACGTCGACCACGCCGAGCTGCGGCGGGCGCTCGAGGAGGCCTTCCGCAGCCACTTCCGCGCCGACGTCGAGAGGGACGAGGTCGGGCTTGGGGCGCTTCAGGCGGAGGGCATCAGCATCACGCCCGACGAGTACGAGGCGGGCGCCGAGTGGCGGTGCGCGTGCGCGCTCGCGACGCACGGCGCGCTCGTGCGGCTCGGGTACGCGACGCGCCGCGGGGCGCTGCTCCACTTCGCCGCGGCCACGCTAAAGGGCGAGTGGAGCCGCGCTGTGCCCGCGGAAGCGGAGGCGCGGCTGGGGGAGGGGAGAGTGGCGCGAGGGACAGTGGGCGCGTGCTCGCCGACCGGCGATTGCGACCCCCCGCCGCCGCCTCGCGACGAGGGAGCGGCGGCGCGATTGCGCGACGAGGAGCCGGCCGGGGGCATCCCGGCCGGCGTGGTGCTGCATGCGGGCGGCGCGGCAGGCGGCGGGGGCGGCTCGTTTGTGACAGCTCCGACAGCAGCGACGGGCAGCGGCGGCGGCCCGCCCGCCGGGACGGGCTTCAAGCGCAGGCGGGCGGCGGTCGACGACGGCAAGATTGCGGGCATCTGCAGCGCGGAGCGCGGGCAGCGCGAGGCCGCGGCGCGTGGGGAGGCGGTGGTCCCGGCATCGTACCGCGCCGCGGTGCTGGAGGGCCTCCGCCGCGTGCTAGTCAAGGAGGGGGGGGACCCGGAGGAGTGGTGGGCGAGGAAGGGCGCGGGAGGGCCGTTCCCGTTTGAGGCGGAGTTGCAGGCTTTGCGGGGGGAGAGCGAGCCCACCTAGGAATAAATCCTCCCTCCCCTAAATCCAGCTTCCAGGCAACCAATTGAAATGCGACCGCCGGGCCCCGGGCGAGCACGTTGCACTTGGTCTTGGAGCACCTGGAGTGCAGAGTCCTCAGAAACACGAAGGAAGAAAACGGCCAAGCAAGGGAGGGATGGGAGGACGGCACGCCGCCACCACACAGGGATTTTAAGGAGAGGGGTGTGGTGCGCTAGCCGTCGCCCACCCTTGGTCCTCCGCCTCTTGCAGTCCTCAGAAAGAAAGAAAGAAAACAGCCAAAGCAAGGGAGGGATGGGCAGTCCTCAGAAAGAAAGAAAGAAAACAGACAACCCAAGGGAGGGATGGGAGGACGGCACGCCGCCACCACACGGGCAGTCCTCAGCGCTCAGTCGACACGTACAGTGCAATTTCTTTTATTCCGCTTCTTTTATTACGCGGTACATCCATCATCCCAATCCTGCTGGCGATATGCTGCGGCGGCTGAAGCGGGCCCTTTCGCCAGAATCCAAGGATGGGGGCGCGGGGGGGTGGGACGACGACTGCCGCAAGTTCTCGCTCGCCAGCCCGCCCACGGTGGCAGCCTGCGGCTCCGGAGACCGCGCGTCCCGCTCTCCGCTCTCTCTCTCGCTCTGGTGTGCGCCGCGCCACCGCCTTCCACCTGCGTACGCGCAGCGCATTCCCACGGCTGCTCTCTCGCACCCCTGCTGCCCTCCCGCCCCTTGCGCAGCGCGCGCACGCTCCTCCCATGACGGGATGTGTCCTTCATGCGGGTGGCGCGGCGTCACGCCCCTGCACCCCCGCGCTCCAGGATGTGGGGAGACCGCTTCGTCTTTGACCGCTTCGGCTTTGACCGCTTCCTCACGCCGGACGGGCGCGAGACGCCCCTCCCCTCCCCTCCCCCCCTCTCACATCCTCGCCCTCCCCTCTCCGCCGCGCAGCGCCGCAACCGGCCCTCCCCGCCGCCGCCCACTGCCCAGCAGGCCGCGCAAGCCCGCGGAGCAGGAGACGGTCGCGTTAGGGACTCAAAACGACGTCGACGAGGCCCAACTCAGCTTCGTCCTGGAGGACGCGTTGCGCATCGACGAGCAGCCCGGGTGCGGCCTCGCCCCGCTCCCGCCGCACCCGCGCCTCTCGCCGCCAAGCTCACACGCACCTCGCCGCGCGAAGGCTTCCGCGCCGCAGCGTGGCGCGCAAGCTCGAGCTCGGTGAGGACCTCGAGGCGGAGATGTCCAAGTGCACCCGCTGCGGCGGGTCCAACTTCGGCACGCTGCTCGGCGACCTCTGCGTGGCCTGCTCCGGCGGCGGCGTCATCCCGACCTCGGCCGTCGAGCACCTCACCTTTGGCGTCCACGATTTGATCGCGGCGGTCAGCGGCGTCGCTGCCCCCAAAGTTCCAGGGAGGCTGCTGCTGCCCGCGCCTCCCCCCCCCCCCCCCCCTTTCCCCCTTTGCCCTGCACACACACACAGGGACACACACACACACACACACACACACACACACACACACACACACACACACACACACACACACGCACACACACACGCACACACACACACCGCCCCGCGCGCGCGCCTACCTCACCTCGTCGTAGCTCCCCCGCCCCCACCCCCCCCTCCCCCCTCCCCTCCCCCTCCCCACCGCGCCTGCCGCCCCCGCCCCCCTTCCCCAGTCGGAGCCGTTGCTGACACCTCATACACATCCGCCCGCCTGTGGTTCCCCTTCGGGGCAGCCCCGCGCGGTGCGGGAAGCCCTTCCCCTGTGTTTGATGGCGCTCGAGGCGCCCGTCCTGCCGCCGGCAGCCGCCCCCCGCCCTCCTGACCGGTCCCCCCGCCCCCCGCCCCGTGTGCTTGCAGGACCGGCAGGTGGCCAGACGCCGCTGGCCACCTGCAGATCCTGCACGCGGTCGCGGAGCACGGCCGCGAGGGCGACTTTGCGGATGCGGCGGCGGCGCTGGGCATGAAGGCAAATGCTGTGCGGATGCAGTTTTACCGGATGGCGCGCCAAGAAGATAACGGTATCTTCGTCATGCGCCGCGACACCCCACCCCCCCACCCCACCCCCCCTCCCCAGGCGAGGCGGGAGCAGGCGCCGCGCAGCTCCAAGTCGCGGTGCAGAAACAAGGTTCGCAGAACAATATCATGCGCCCAATCACCCTCGCGCTCGGACGCATCCTCGCCCTAACTAGGAGGAGCTCGTGGCGGAAGAGCAGGATTTCTTCAAGTGCAGCAGCCTCACGAGATTCGTCTCCGAGTCCGAGGCCGTGGAGGCGTCGCTGACGTGCCTGAGACGCGCCCGAGATCTGAGGGATGACGCACCCACTTTCCCGGTGATAGGTGCGCAAGGTGTATGAAGCGCGCCTGGCGCGCGAGGCAGCCAAGCCGGAGGCCAAGGCGGAGCGCGAGGAGGCGCGCAGCGCGCAGCGCGCGGCGCAGCGTGCGGAGGACCCCGAGCACGAGGCGCGCCTCGAGGCACGCAGGGCGGCGTACCAGCTCTCGCGGCAGGCGGCGGAAGCGGTGGGATCGGTCTAAGGTGTTCTTCGGCGCCGTCTGCCGTGGGTGGAGACAGACACGTCCGCGACATTTTGCCATAGGCGTCGTGGATGGCGCGCCGTGCGGAGGCGCAGGCGCCGGTCCAGGAGGCGTTCGAGGCGCTCAAGCTGGCCAAGGGCGAGGAGCGGTCCGCGGCGGCACGGGTGCTCGTGGCTGCGATCAAGACCTTCAAGGGCACGCGGCTCGGCTTCACCTCCCTGGTGGGCGACGTGCTGCGAGCGCTCGCCCCGCGAGGCGTCGACTTCCAGGTCGCCTCGCACGCCACCGTCATCGCGCGGCACCGGGAGCAGGGCGGCGAGTGGCCCGAGGACGTCTCCGCGCTCAAGTTCTCCGAGTGGGGCGCGGACCTGAGCGCGCTCGAGGCGGGCGCCGCGGAGCTGCCGCTTGTGCGCCGCGCCCCGCGGCCGCTCTGACGCCGCCCCCCCTCTGAGCCGTCCCCTCCCGCGTAGGCGCTCCGCACGCTCTTCCTTGTGGCGCTCCCCTACGTCAAGAAGCTCTTCCCCGCCCTCGAGGAGGGCATCGCCGACCTCGACGCCATCGCCAAGGAGTGGGAGCCGCTGACGCAGCAGTGGGCGTGGCTCAACCTTCACCTGCGGCTTGCGGGTGCGCCGCCGCGAGCGCCGCGGTGTCCGCACCCGGCGTTCCCTCTCACCCCCCCCCTCCCCCTCCTCGTGCACAGAGGGCAAGGCGCGGGAGGGCGCCGCTAGCTCGACGCACCCGACATGGCCGGCGAGCGCGGAGGCGCCGGAGGAGGCCGAGCTGAGCCGCCTCCACGGCCTGCACGCCGTCGCGCGCATCCTCAAGCTCTTCGCGGCAAAGGCGCGGCAGCTCCGCGCGCTCGTCATGCGAGACGGCAAGGCGGTTCTGGAGACGCTGGTGGACTGCCCCGACGAGCTCGAGCTCTACCTGTCCCGCGAGCTCGCGACTTGTGAGCCGCCACAGTCGGCAGCTCGCAATAGCAGCAGTGGGGGGGTGATCAGCCCCCCTCCCCTCTCCCCAGGCGCCGACCTCAAGGCGAAGATCGACTCGACGCGGCAGTTCCGGCGCGCGCAAGGCGCCCCGCCCTACGCCTTCATCTTCCAACTCAAGTACAACATGTATGCCTCTGGCACGACGATCATGGACGCCACCTCGGAGGTGCCCCCCCCCCCCCCCCCCAAAAAAAAAAAAAA